TGAGATCCCTCTCCGTGTTTGTTCACGACCATTGAAATCACATAAACATACAAATCCTATCATAGACACCGCGAAATATAAGACAGACCTATTTATGGTTATTTTGTGCAGAACCTTTGGTAGCAAAAGTAATTAATTCCGTTTGGTAATCATGTCCTTCTAGCGTTGTTGGTAAAGAACAGCTGAAAAAAATGTTCATAGAAAAGAAAGGAACAATCGTCTTAACTCCTTATTCGATGCACAAATACAAATAAAATTTTTGATTTGTTTACGTACCAGCCAATCAGCTTTCGAATTATCATTTTATCTATATTGGGCATGATATAAACGATCAATGGTTATTAGTGATTATTCGACACGCAACAATTCTAAACCTTAAAAAGTGAAGAAAAGTTTTATTTGATACCTATTCTGATTCCCAGACTTCACTTTCCAGTTACAATTGAACAACAACATTTTTACCGAATTGTATAAAGAGCAGATACAGACCGATTTGAGCTGCAAAACTACCAAATAGATTTTCAATCTTTAAAGGAATGTTCCTTTTCAATCCTCTTCACCAATCTATCCCAATGTCAACGGTTATAAATAGCTACTTGGAATATGGTTAACCATTTCTGATCTATAAAAAATTTTGTGAAGCACTTTTTATGGATTGAAAAATTACATATTAATGTACAACTCGTTTTTGTCAGCATATTATCTTTTTTGGTGTAAAACAGTTTTATATTTGTGGTTTCATTGACTGTGGTGTTAGCACTATTTTAGTAATTGTTCGATGAATACAATTATAAAATAGCATTATAGATGAAGTTGAAATATATGCTTGGCGTTAATATGATAAATAAATATGTTTTAGTAAAGAACTGTACCTTTAGCTTGCTAAACATTTTCTGAAATTGTTGTAATGTTTTCAAACGGGAATTTTTAAATATTTCAAAAAATGAACGAAAATATGTGCGTTTTAGGAATGATAAAAATGAGTTTATAATCGATTAACACGATAAAAACAATATTGTAACCAAGAGTCCATGCTGATTAGTATGTTGTTGGTACATAGATGATAAAAATATATTCGCGGCAAAATATTTTTACATTTATGTAAGTTACCATTTGTGTCCTTATCGTCAGAAATGGAATAGTTCGATTAATTAGTATAAAAACAAAATAATCCTGTACTTCCATGAGTGCAATCGAAATTTTTGTCATTGTGTGTGCGTGGATCGCTAGTGTTCAAACAACAGGACATTTCTATAATCCAAAAAGTGATCAAAAAGCAAGTGCAGGCTACCATATGAACCGAACACCATATACCGGTATAAATTATCCTGTGAGTGAAACACCATATACCGGTACAAATTATCATTCGGGCAGAGCACAACATACCGGTACAAATTATCATTCGGACAGAGCACAACATACCGGTACAAATTATCATTCGGACAGAGCACAACATACCGGTATAAATTATCATTCGGGCAGAGCACAACATACCGGTACAAATTATCATTCGGGCAGAGCACAACATACCGGTACAAATTATCCTTCGGGCAGAGCACAACATACCGGTACAAATTATCCTTCGGGCAGAGCACAACATACCGGTACAAATTATCCTTCGGGTAGAGCACAACATACCAGTGCAAATCCGGACAAAGATATCTTTTTCGAAAAAACTCGTGATTATGAATATAGAACTTTCAAGAATGCTAAGCCAAAACCCGTTGCTAAGCCAATTTTGTTCAAAATTCCAAGGAAAAATAAACCAAAACCATTAGTTATACCCGGAAAAGACTCTGTTTGGGAAATGTTTCGTTTGATATCGAAAAACAAGAGTGTAGCAGGCAACACCGCAGCTGATTCAATATACGTTGGTGGCGGCTATTCTGCGATGCCGAAATATCGCAATGGAAAAGGTACACAGGAAGAAGGTGCTATGGCTTTACTGTCTGGGCTGTTAACGTCACTTTTGCCACTTGCGGAGAAAGACAAGAATGGTCATTTTTTGCGGACAGATGATTTTCGTACCAAGGGAAGATTTGTTTATAAGCCAGGTACATTTTCTAAGAATATCTGGCTTTCTGAAGGCATGTATCCAAGGGTATCATTGAACTTGTGGGAACAATTTACACCGAACAATACAGGCAATGGTTTCTTTACAGATCATATCGCGAGTCGTTATTGCCGTAATAAGGTTTCTATAGATATAGATAGACAAAATTATATCAACATTTACTCCATGGTGGCACTTGACAGGAGAGGCATGAGTCAAGCCGAAATGGACAAAAAATATAATGATCTATATGTGGATACTTTTGGTCAGATATCTGCTATGTTGAAGAATGCCTTGGAGGCACGCAATAATGCCATAGTGATAACAATACCTGGCAGTGGAGTCTTCTCGAATATTGATAGAGACCCAGCGAAAGGAAAGGATGAAAGGTATTTGGATATTGTTGAAGAAGCTACGGTAACTGCTATCAAAATCTACGGATGGGACTTCGATGAAATCGTATTATGTGGCCATAGGTCAGTGCCAAAAATTTTTTACTAAACATTCCGTCAGCGATTGAATTTGAATAGTATTGGTCTGATATCACCACTTTAAAAAAAGTTAAAAATAATATTTTTATGAATTCAAACGGTGCTTTTGGATTATCTATCAATATAAAATTACTAGTTGCTCAATCCCGTTTTCAAAACAGCGCTTTTGAATATAACTGCAACATCAGGTCATTCCTTTCTACTACTGTTCTATGGTTACAAATCAATAATTCACTTTCATTCCAGTAGCTCATTGTACACAACATTTCTAGTGTATACTTTACCGTTCTCATACTTTCCTTGGTCTCCATTATCAGCAACATACACCCTTAGACCGTTTGCATAGCGCACTCTCGACAGAGCTACATACAACTGACCATGCACAAAGACTGGACTGTGCAGATAAACACCTACCTTGTCAAATGACTGGCTCTGTGACTTGTGGATTGTCATCGCAAACGAAAGAAAGACCGGAAACTGTCTTCTCTTGAGTATGAATGGCAGCTGTGTCTATCTTGCTGTTGTTTCCCAGTATGACCAAAATATGTCCTCGTTTCTGGAACTCAATTGTGTACATAAATGCTTTCATTCTTTGTTCGCAATCAGGTCTTTCTTCAGTTCGTTTAGCTTTAGCTTGAATACTCTGGCAACCAAGGGAATTTAATAATTACAATTGTTGTATCTATAATAGTGCAGATCACAGCATCAAGTATTGTTAAAATTACGAATTTGTAACCGTGCCAATTTAGCACTCCTTATGCCACATCTCAACAACAAAGATTACAGCATCAATAACAAACAAAACATCTTCCTATAACACATGTAATGCACCAATTGTTTTGTGCGCATCGATAGTGGTGAGTGTTAGAGATATTTGTAGGCTTGATCGGTAATTTTTGTCTAGTAGCGCTGTTGAACCTAATACTGATTGTACAAGTTTATGTTATTGTAAATGTTGATGAACAGAGCAAGGATG